GGATGTACCTCGCTTTTCAAACCCTCCGACTCGATTCCCTTGCAAAGAAATCCGAGGGAGTAGAAAATTACCAAATTTTGTCTGTCGGCTTAAATCCCCGACCGCCCTGGGGCGTGGTGCAAGGCTGCGGAGTCTTGCAATGGGTGATTTTGTTATTACTTTGCACAAACGCTGGATCTGCTGAAGAGGCTGGCTAATGAAAAAAGGGATGGAATGTGTTCTCCATACTAGTGCTGACTTCTAGCTCTACTCTGTCAGTCAGTACGTGTACTGTAGGCCTGCCTGGAAGTCTTCTGTTGCGTTGTGAAGTTTGTTGTTACCGTAGTTGCTAGCCTGCATAGCATGCCAGAAACTGGGGGTTTTGGGGGTCTTCATGGTCTTTGGGAGCTTTTATGTGCTATTTTCTGATTGCATATAGACAACATAGCTGGCCTGGTTGAATTACCCCCGTTTTTTTAGAACTGGGCTAATCAGAAAACAGCTGAAGACCACCAAGTTCTATAAGCCTGCTACGGAGGCTAGTAGTTGGCGAGTTTTGGTCCGGTTTTGTCAGGTTTCAGATTTGACATTTGGAACATGATTCGCTCAATTGTCATGACTGTTATGACTCATGGAGTAATGACCGGAAAGATTTTATCTCAATTTTGTTCCAACCTCAAACCTGAATCCAGGTACAGACCCAGGATTTGTATGTCCATTATTACTCGAATTCTCGGGAGTTTCCAGGTGGTACCGCATCACTGAAGTTGAAGGATGAAAGTGTGTACAACATTTTCCAAAACACAAAATAATTTTTCAACAGATTTTACAGCAATAAATCCATATTGATATTTTATGAATAACACATTAACTCAGTCATCACCACTATTAAAAATTATGTAAAATAGACTAAAATGGACAAGGAGTGCATGTAAGAATGAAGAACAAATTTAGGGGGTAAGGTGGTTGTTGAGGAATTGGAAAAAAAAGTAGGCTTGTCGTGGCTTTGTCTGCTTCAGGTTTATATATTCAAGGTGTAAAGACACGTGATTTGGTCATAATAGGCTAAAATGGACTAGGAGTGCATGTATGAACAAATAACAAATACAGGGGGTTTAACAATTAACATATGGTTGTTGAGGAATTGAAAAAAAAAGGTAGGATTGTCGTGGCTTTGTCTGTGTCAGGTTCATATATACAAGGTGTAAAGACAGGTGATTGAGTCTGTCTAAATTACCCCCCATTTTTCTGGGACAGACACACCGCCATACTGACAGCTTAATGAAATAATTTGACTGTGAAAAATTGCCGGCAGTTCCAGGCGGAATCCCCAGAAGGCCCTGGTCCGATACATCAGCGGGCAGATTAACTTTCTCTGCTGCGCGTTCGGAAAACACGGGACGGTTAGGGAGGTAAACTCTACCGCTCTCACCTAACCAGGGCTCGAAATACTGTTATTTAATTATATATATCAAATGTATAATAGTATATATGCAGGAGAATGTTCTTGGCATCTAAGTGTCAGAAAAATAATAAAATCTTTGTTTTAGTACTTGTTTAAGATTTTGAAGTTATTTCAGATTCAAGCAAAATCAACAAAAAGGGTTGAAGCCTACCTATTTTTCAAAATGTCCTTGATATAATATACAAAGTCATATAGTATATACATGAAGCTACTTGAAATTTGAAGACTGAAATAACTGGCACTTACATTACAATGCATCTTTAGAAGCAAGTAGCAAAGTTCCTAATAAATTTTCTGTAGAATTTCTTGGCACAAGGTGAAGGGTTTTTAAGATAGGTGCTTACGGAAAATGAACTTTCTTGCAGTATTGCCACATGTTTTAAACTAAGGAATGAGTTTTCTCCCTTTTCTCACCATCAGTAAGGACAATTTAGCCTCAGACAATGTCCACTTAAGTTCTGCCCTGAAGGCGAAAACGCGTCAACCGTGTCCGAACCCACAGAAATTTCAAGAAACTTCGGTTCTTCCTCCATTATCTCTGAGATAAAGGGTGATCTGTCTTGCATCATAAGTCTGTCTTTATTTCAGCCCTGGTCCATTGTCCGGGTGAAAGGCCCCGCTGAGGTGGTGGCGTGCCGTTGGAAATCCCTGCGACTTTGTTTAGCTGCTGCATTGTGGCGGATTTTTAATGGCATACTTAGATCATTCTCCCTGCCTGAGACAATGGGGACAATGGTGGAGGAGATGAATAAAATATGACGATTTTCGGCGGCGGATCCCGCCCTGTGTGCGCGGTAATTGTGATCGCTTTTACCACCCTTCCATCTGCATGTCTGAGGAGGATGGTTTTCTCTCGCTGGTAATCACACGCCAAAGCTATGCACACACCGCATTGTTGTTCTAACCAGTGCTTTCAGCTGCTCGGGTCTTACGGAGAAAGGACGAGGAGGATTAGATTATGCCGAATCTGGACAATGCTGTCCAATGAAATAGATAGCCGCGTCGGAGGCTTTTGTCCACACTGCGGCCTAGACGTGTAATGAGGTATTGATAGATAAATGTGTGTCACTTTTTGCGGGAAGGTCTCATCTCGGATTGATCGTAAAGCCAAAAAAGGTTGGTCGCTCGGTCGTCTTGAAATAAGATTTCTTCTCTTTGCTATGTAAAGTTTTCACCTGTGTTGAAGGTATAACTTTGTGCTTTTTCATCCAAGATAAGTTAGACGTGCTTTAGGTAAAGTAGAAAGGGGGGTTGGTCCTTTTGAATGATGATTTCCCCCCCTTTTGTGTGACCGTTTTCCCTTTTTGTAAGTATGTAATGATGGTGTCTGTGTTAGAACCTGAATATGCTATTTTGAGTGTTAAACAGGAAGCACAGGTATTTTTGACACAACCTTCTTTGTGAAATCATGTCGGCATTTTGTCTTCTATACTATAGTGAAAGTCTACGAAGCAACTGGGAATATCAGATGAAGACTGTGGTATCCACTTGTGGAAGTTGAACTGTTAGACATAGTGCTTTTCATAAGGCTTACCTTACTAGCACATAGTTTAATTTCTAACTGGACCCTTGCAAGACTCCATCCAATATTTTCACCTTTGTGTCTCTTGTCCCAGCTTCTTGTATATAGTATATAAGTCCTTGTCTCCACACTGTATTCTATAAGAACAAGTATGTCCTCGACCAATTAGGCCACACCAATTCAATTTCCTGGTTCTTAGATTTTTTTAAAATAAGAAAACATGAGGAAAACTAAACCTGGGGTCCAGCTTTAAATATGAAGCCTTGGCTCACTCCGTTTTATGGAGTGCATACAGGTGTATTAAAGTTTTCCTCCTTGCCCTCTGCTTTATTTTACGATGTCTGCTTGTTATATTTTCACCTTAGTTAGACTGTCCCAGAACCAAGGAAATGAGTTGGATTGGCCTTACTTACTGTCTACAAGGTGGTTTTGTTATAAGAAAAGTACAGGTCAACATTTAGAAGGTGAAGGAATGATGGAGACGTTGCATCTTACATTACTGCGTGGGCATAATGCCATATTTCCTGACATGTGCACACTTATACTAGATTTAAGGAAATCAGACCTACTTGCATTTCAAACCAGTAACCCCAGTTTTTGGATAGTGTTAGTTACTAGCTATATAAAGAAATCAGTTACCAAAGCAACTGGCTTTTCAAACAAGTAAACCTAGTTTTTAGACAGTGTGTATTACTAGCTATATAAAGAAAGCAGTTACCAAAGCAACTGAATAGATGTTAGACATTTCTGTTGTCACTGAAGTAAAGTAGTGGATGCTACTTGAAATGTCTGACAGTTTTTTTTAATCTATCCAGTTGCTTGAGTAACTGTTTTCTTATCTAGCTCATTACCTGGATGTGTTACAGTGTTAGTTACTCGCTATATATATGTCAGTTACTAACTATATAAGAAATCAGTTACCAAAGCAACTGGATAGATTGAAAAGAAATGTCAGACATGTCTGTCGTCACTGAAGAAAATTAGTGGATGCTACTTGAGATGTTTTACAGTTTTTTAAAAATCTATCCAGTTGCTTTGGTAACTGATTTCTTTATATAGCTAGTAACTAACACTGTCTAAAAACTAGGTTTAATTGTTTTCTTATCTGTCTTTACCTAGATGTCTAACCTTTATGGACGTGTTAGCTATATCATTCTGTAGGATCTTCCATTGTACAGTGTTGTTAGACATTATCATTGAACCGGATGTAGAGATTCTGTGGTTTGGAAAAACAATCTACGCTAATGACCCAAAATATTTTTGGCTCCTAACATCAAGGATGTGTTGTGGTATAAATCAACATTGCTCAATTTTGATATCTGCTTATGATACACAGGGCTCAAAACACTTTTTAAAGAAATAACTGTGTTACTAGCTTTTGCTTAAATCTACCCTAAATTCTCTTCAATGTATAGTACTTTATATATGAGTTTTTTTCTCTGTACTGAAGTCTAACTCTAAATGTGAGTTTCCTCTCCCCTGTATAGAACTTAAGACGTCTAGATGTTTTCCCTTTACAGAAGTTTAAATTGTGAGTTTCCATAATGTACACTGATGTCTAAGTGTTTCTTTTCTCTCCCCTGTATTTAAGTCCAAATGCTTGTTTTCTCTCCCATGTATAGAAGTTTATATGTGAGAAGTTTAAATGTTCTTTTCCCTATATAAACCGAAGTCTAAATGTTGTTTTCTCTTCCATGTACAGAAGTTTATAAACATTGTGATTTTTTTGGCATGTACTTAACTGTCTTAAGTTAAAATGTGACTTTCCATAGTCTACACTGAAGTGCAAATGCTTCTTTTCTCTCCCATGTATAGAAGTCTAATTGTGAGTTTTCTATGAATTTTCTATCCAGTGTATAAACGTTTATTTGTGAGTTTTTTTTCTCCATTTTGTCTATACAGAAGTTTACATGTTTTTTCACCTAAGTCTAAGTGTTTGTTTTCTCTCCCATGTATAGAAGTTTATATGTGCAAAGTTGAAATGTTTTTCCTCTGCTGAAGTTTAAATGTTTGTTTTTTCTCTCGCCTGTGCAGAAGTCACCTCAGCTAGATGAGTAACGGAGCTCGGCTCACCCACAGCCGGTACGTGGTTGGACACCATCATGGACGACGCGACCACCGCCAGCCAGCTTCCGCAGACCGCCCTGAGCCAGCCGCCCAAGCCGCCCCCCGAAACCGTCCACCTCGGCTCCTCCGCAGCACCAAGCACCAACGGGATTGTCGAGAACGCCGTGTCCGGAATTACCACCGGAAGTAGTCCGGGTGACCACCTACGGGACGGGGATGTTGTGAGTAGTAGTGTGGGAGCCGCGGGAGGATCGTCCATGAGGGGGCTGAACGACCCGGTGACCTGCGGGGGCTGTGCCGCGACCTTCCAGGGTCTGCAGGCCTACATGGAACATCAGTGTCAAGGGTCAAAGGTCAGTGCTCTGAGATTTGTTTGTAATACTGTACTTGTACAGTCAAGACCACTCAGATAACCGATGAGATTTGGTCTATCTGCAGGCCTCCAAATTAGCTATTCTTCCTATTGTCCCAGTACTGTCCCAAAAATAAATTTCAATTGTCCCGAAGTGAGGATGAACTGCCCCAACCTGATTCGGGGAAGTACTCGTATTGTATGACTACAACTTGAAGTTAACTTTGTTTTGCTTATGTTCACTCCCAGGTGCACTATAATTGTAGTATAGACAGGAAATTCGGATCCAAAAGCCGGGACGTGTACCTTATACAACAAAAGAAGGGCTGACATTCTGATGTTGATTATTTTTCTGTTGTCCCAAAAATGTACCAAAGTGTCTGTTTAGTTGTCCCAGCCTAAATTTTAGTGGTCAGTGGCCATCGGGACACCGTTAATTTCGAGCCCTGTATCTGGACAGATTGTTAATGCTTGTGTCAATGGGAAAAGTATCTAAGGGGCCACAAAACAGTGGTCACATTGGCCACGTTGTCCTTATATACTATGATGTAGAGGTGTACAGGGTGGACTGTATTTACCTTTTGTAAAGGAATTGGATTCGGGAAAAGATTAAAGCATACATATAGAAAGAATCACTGTGTGGCATAGTGTTTTCAGAAAATTAGATGCATTTTGTACCAAAACACATTAAGTATGCAACACTCATGACCACTTGTTCATTGCTCAAAACACTGATGTTCTATATTCTGTTTGTCACAGCTGGCTGGCAGCAAGCCTGAGAGTGATTTCAGCGAGGGTGACGACAGCGACGGCGAAAACTTCGAGGGCGAGATCGTCTACGAACCGGACGGATCCGCTTACATCATCGAGCACCCGAGCCCGCCGGAGACCCCCAACTCCAGCGCGAGCTCGCCCGTCGGAAGCAGCTCCGTGCCGCCGCTTGGGGGGAACCTGCCGGGGCTCGGAATGTACCAACCCCTGCTGAACGCCTTCCACATCCCCCAGACCAGCTACGGCTGGGGGTTTGGTGGCCCCGGAATTCCCAACTCAACATACGGTTCCCTGGGAAACAAGGCTTGCAACGACACGCCGATCGTCCACAGCTACAGGGTCTACACCCTTCGCAAGGAAGGCGAAGTGAATAGTACGGAACTTGAGTCCAAAGACGGGGAGGGATCAAACTCAACAACCGAAGCCAAAGCAACTCTTAAGAAAATTGTGCGCAAGGTCGCGGTCGGTCGGGAGCACGACAGTCTGAGTGTCTCGCCCCGCGACGCGGCGAACAAGCCCATACTTATGTGTTTTCTGTGTAAACTTTCGTTCGGATTCACCAAATCGTTTCGTTCCCACGCCACCGGCGAACACAAGATGGCTCTAAACGAGGAGGAGGAACAGTTGTTGTCTAAGAAAGACACGTCCGCGATTATTCAAGGAGTGGGAAAGTCTAAAGGACCCCCTCTTCTGTCCTTCCTCGAGCCCATGGGGCAACCCGAGAACTCGGATTCCTGTCACGATAACGCGAGCACGGGGTCCCCAACACCCACTAACAGTCAGCCTCTGTTCCTCTTTGGCGGTGCACTGCCGGGAGTTAGCCTCTCTAGTACCTCAAACAACCTAACCAAAGTCAGCTACGTGTACACCTCAAGCTTGCTCACACTGCCCTCGGTACACGCTAGCGTCGCTTCCTCTAGTTCTGCCTCGGGGGCAGCCAGTAATAATAACAATGCCACTTCCGCTATGGACTTGTCTTCTCTTGGTGCTAAGACGTTGTTCACGCCTGCCGTTGTTTCCTCTTCCTCCACCCCATCTCCGAGTACCTCACAAGGACAAGGGTTGGGGGTCCCTGGGGGGCAGGCACCGAGCCTCAGCCCTGTCTCCCACACCCTCGCCCCGTCAGGAACTAATAACAGTAGTAGTAACGCTAATAATAACAGTAGTAGTAGTAGTGGTAACACTAGCAGCACGTTTACCAAACCAGATTCGCTCCTGAAGGCGGTGACTTCTGGGAAACAGGACATGATGACGGCCATTGTGACGGCCGCTCTGATGAACGGGAGCGCGGAAAACGAAAAAGTTTCCCAAAAGTCGCTGTCGGCGGAAAGCTCGGCTCCTAATAACAGTTCCGCGTTCGCTCTCGATCTAACCAAAGACAAAATAGTTTCCTCTGATAGTATTGTTGTACCTCCTGGAGCTTTGCCTAGAAACCCCGAAAGTACGCAGAGTGGAAAGACTTCTTCTTCTTCCAGACTTAATGCTCAGGGCGGGCATACGGACGAGCGTGTGAAGAATTCTGTGAGAAAAGAAGCAGTAAACGAGAACCATTCGGGGCGGCGTACAGTCGCCGGCCCCTTTCCCGGACTCCTGGGTGGAGAGTCCTCGAGTAGCACGGATTACGGCGACGAATCGAGGACGCATCCGCACCAGTGCGGTGCGGAAAATGGCGTGGAGTGCCCGAAGTGCGACATGGTCCTCGGGTCCACGCGCTCGCTGGGTGGCCACATGACGATGATGCACTCCCGCAACTCGTGCAAGACACTGAAGTGTCCCAAGTGCAACTGGCACTATAAATACCAGCAGACTCTGGAGGCGCACATGAAGGAGAAGCACCCGGAGACTGGGAACGCGTGCGTGTACTGCACTACGGGTCAGCCCCACCCGCGGCTCGCCCGCGGCGAGACTTACACCTGCGGGTACAAGCCGTTCCGCTGCGATGTGTGCAACTACTCCACCACCACGAAGGGCAACCTCAGCATCCACATGCAGTCGGACAAGCACATCAACAACGTGCAGGAGATGCAGAACAAGGGGAAGCCCGACCGGATGTTCGCGGCCCCGAACAACATGGGCGACCCGCTCGCCCAGTCCAAGCCAAAGCCGAAGCCCACGTGGAGATGCGACGTGTGCGACTACGAGACCAACGTGGCGCGGAACCTGCGCATCCACATGACCAGCGAGAAGCACATGCACAACATGATGCTGCTGCACCAGAACGTCAAGCAGATGCAGGATTTCCAGGCGCGACTCGGAATGCAGCCCTCGCCGGCCGACAACGCGCTGTACGGCTACTACCTGGCGCAGGCGCAGGCCCAAGCCCAGGTGCACAGTGCCGCGCCCCTCCCCTCTCAGCTCCACCCGAATCTCGGGGAGTTCCAGTTCGACGCCAACCTGTTCCTCCAGCAGCAGCAGCTCATGGCGGCGGGGGGAGGGGGGCAGGGCGGCGTGCCGGGAGGCGTTCCCATGGAGAACGGTTCCGAAGATGACTCGAGCCTTGACGGCCCCCCTCCCGCGGACGAGGATCCAGCGTGCAACGAGAGCCTGAAGCTGTTCCAGTGCGCCGTGTGCAATAAGTTCACCTCAGATAACCTGGACCTTCTGGAGGCCCACATCAGCAGCGACAGGCCCACACAGGACGAGGAATGGGTCCTGCAGGTAGGTGGGGAGGGGGGCGACCTTGAAATACAGATTGTTGTTTTTTAGATATATCTCATGTTGTAAAGAAATAAATTTCAATGTTGACAATGTGTCATGCAGGTAGGTGGGGAGGGGGGGCGACCTTGAAATACAGGTTGTTGTTTCAAGGAGGTTCAAAAGTGTTTTTGAACATCCTTGGTTGTTTCTTAGATATATCTCATGTTGTCATCTTCGAAACCGAAGGACCGCCTTAAGCAAGTAAGCATCTCATGTTGTAAAGAAATTGATTTCAATGTTGTCATGCAGGTTGGTGGGGAGGGGGGCCACCTTGACAAAGTGGTTGTTGTTTGACCTTGAGGTGGAGGTTGTTGTTTTCCATCTCATGTTGTAAAGAAATTAATTTCAATGTGTGACATGCAGGTGGGGAGGGGGGGAGACCTTGAGATAAATATTGTTTTTTTCCTATGTCATATAATTGTTCAGTAGGTGGGGAGGGGGGTGACCTTGAAACAGGTTGTTGCCTTTCTCATATAATTCTAAAGTACATGTAGGTGGGGAGGGGGTTGACCTTGATATAGATGTTGTTTCCTATCTCATGTTGTGAAGAATTTAATTTCAACGGAGGTCTAAATTGTCTGGTAAAATTATTTGAAAAAAAATTTGAAATTGAAATGTCACCCAAGGCCACTCGTTCATTCAAGGGGTGACTTTGGTTCAATGATTTTCATTATTTTTTTCAATTTTTTGTAAATGAATCGACTTTTAAAAGTTCAACCTGCAAATCAGCAGTTTTTTTTGCATTATAAAGAAAGAAGAATTCCTCTGGTATAGGTATAAGGTACTTGTTCCCTTTGGCAATGAGCTGTCATCTGGCCATGCTTTTCAGGATACAAGATACAAGATCTCTTTATTGGAAATCGCAGTGTTTCCACTGAATTAAAACCAATTTACAATTCAAAATAAGGAATCCATTAAAAAGCTGATTACAAATATGGACAAGTTATACACAGACATTACAAAAAGAGGCAAGTTACTGTCCGTGCTGGTTTACAAGTAAGAAACAGCCAAGGGTTGTTGACTGCCTTTGTGTCCCTAGGTCAGAATGTCGACCACTTCTTATAATGACCCTCGGACCATTCCAAGTTGTATTGTGGACTTTGTGGTGCACATTTGACCTTAAACTACGTGGTGAGACCCACTATGACCTCATTTCTGGCTGGTGGTCACACCACAGAGGTTTTTTTTGTATAAAGGATTTTGTGAACCATGGACATTGTGATTATTTGAATGATCAGTAAAGAAAAGGCCAGATAGTATGGGATTCAGGCATTGTTGTCAATCTCTCGGCCTAATCAACATTTTTATGATAAGTCTTTTGCAAGAAACATAGCAACATATCCTGGTTGCTATTTTGGCAGGTGTGATAAATACAAAAGACCACCTGTTTTTTTTTTTAGACTGGAATGTTGGCAGATATGCCACAAAACAAAGGAAGAAGAAAAAAACAACACAAAGTTTTTGGCTGTTGCCTAATGGTTGGTGCTAATGTATTTCTGAATCATACCTTCCCCTTTTGAAATTTTGAATGAAGAATAGCCCCCAACCTATCACCAAAAACAAGTGTCAAAAGTGGACGTCAGAGTGGTAGCCTTTGGCCTTTTCTATGCATTCAGAGGGGAATTATACATTTTTGTACAGCGGTTGAGACGGAAGGCATGACGAGGCGAATTAGCCATGCTATAAATCACCACCTTAGCTCGTTGATTGCGCCGAGGTAGGTGTTAAAACGGATTAGAAAACGAATGCCTTCCACTCGTGTACAGGTGTTTCTTTGGTTTGAAAGTTCGCCTGCATTGGTAGTCTAAAAAGAAATCACATCAAAGCAAGTCGAACTCTAATTTTCCACGCAAAAATTTCCATTCCGTTTTGCTTGGTTTCCAAAAGCTGGATTTGGACATTGGGTGAGGACAAAAAATTTTACGTTGAAAATTTCAGTTCAACTTTAGATTCAGGTATTATTCCCTTGCTTTGCCACCAACGTAAACCTTTGACTACAAACCTTCACCGTTGCTACCATAACCGTTCTGTTGTAGTGACGGCTATGCACAAGTGGTATCAATACTGTTATTGTCAAAATTTTAGCCAGATTTTGGGCTATTAGAGTTTCATTATTTATTCATTGTGCGATGTTTTATTTATTCTGGTAGACCTTGGTACTTGAGTAATTATCCATTATGGCTACTTACTTATGCCTGGTACTTTCATGTGCTTAAGTAGTTATTATTCTGTGGTAGTGGTTCAGAAAATAAGGTGGAAGTAAAGTTTAATGTACCGGTAATATACGTGTATAAAAATTGAACATTAAGAATTCAACCCTCTGTTGGGTTGAAATGTTCTTTACAATTGACACCTTTTTCAGAGTTACTTTAAAAAAATGGGGATAATTCAACCAGGCCGGCTATGTTCTTCTTCTTCTTCTTCTTCTTCTTCTTCCTCTAACAACCCCGTAAGGGGTATCGCTGGAGGGGGGGAGGTGCGTGGACCTTACAGTAGAGAGGCCCGAAAGGCCTCCACAGATTGTGCCTGTACGGCCTGGGCAGGTAAACTGTTCCACTCTCGTATCGAGCGTGGGAAAAATGAGAATTTGAAACAGTCTTTCGTTGCAGGAATAATATTGTATTTAAAGGCGTGGCTACCTCTGGTGCGCCGCTGTGCAGGAATAAGATATTGTTCAGAGGGTATGTGCATGTGACCGTGAGTTATTTTGAACATTGTAGTCAGACGTGCCTCTCTTCTTCTGTTTGCAAGAGTGGGCCATTGGAGTTTTTGCAACATTTCGGTCACACTACTGGTGCGGGCGTAGTCATTCATGACCATCCGGGCTGCCCTGCGTTGTACGCGCTCAACTGCCTGCACCCCACCAGCTGTGTAGGGGTCCCACACTGAGGCGCAGTACTCGAGTTGAGGGCGTACCAGGGCTTTATAGCAAGTGTTTTTGACTTGCGATGTGCAATGGTATAAGTTACGCCGGATAACTCCCAAGGTCCTGTTTGCCTTACCAGTAGCGTGAGCAATGTGAGCATCCCAACGCATGTCGTTGGAGATGTGAACTCCCAAGTAAGGGTACGATTTTACAGTCGTAAGATTTACCGAGCAAAGACTATACTGCGTAACAAGTGGTCTACGTTTGCGTGTAATGTGAATAGTATGACATTTAGCTGGGTTAAAGTTCATTTGCCAACGATCCTGCCACTCGGTCAGCGCGTCCAGGTCGGCCTGTAAGCCCTGGGCGTCTGTCGGGCTCTTAATAACCCGGTATAACAAACAGTCGTCGGCAAACAAACGTACGTTACTATTAACTATGTCGGGCAAATCATTTATGTAAAGGAGAAAAAGAAGCGGGCCCAAGACCGTGCCCTGAGGCACACCGGACGTAACCCTTGAGGGTTTGGAGGATTCGCCGTCAAGAACTACGGTCTGTGTCCGCTCCGTTAGAAAGGCTTTGAGCCAGGACAAGATGTGTCCCTTGATGCCGTAGTGCTGGAGCTTACTCAGCAGGCGTTGATGCGGTACCGTATCAAACGCCTTGCTGAAGTCCAGCACCACGGCATCAATTTGAAGGTTTTGGTCGAGACCATGTGCTAGATCATGGGTAGTTACTAGTAGTTGGGTCTCACACGAAAGTCCTTTTCGGAAACCATGCTGTACCGGGCATAAAATATTGTATTTGTCAAGATGGGACATTATATGGCAGTGCACAATATGTTCTAAAATTTTACTACAAACAGACGTCAGTGAGACTGGCCGGTAGTTTGCTGGCGCAGCCTTGTCACCTTTTTTATAGATAGGTGTGATGTTTGCAGACCTCCAATCTAGAGGCACATCACCAGTGGTTAGGGATTGTGTGAAAATGACTGTTAATATAGGTGAGACCTGAGTAGCTACAGTTTTTAATAGCCTAGGTGATAGCCCGTCTGGGCCCGTTGCTTTATTTGGATTTAAATTTGTGAGTAGCTTGGCTACCCCTTCCACTGATACCTTGAGCTCTGGTGTGGTCGGTATTGAAGGTTCACCAAGGGTTGGGATGATATTAGTGTCTTCCTTAGTAAAAACCGACTCAAACTGTTCCCCGAGGGCCTCTGCCTTCTCTTTGGGGTCTGCTGTGAGGACTCCCTGGTGCCTTATGGCAGCTGTATCAGTGGAGTCTTGTCTAATAGATTTTATATAGTTCCAAAAAGCTTTGGGACTCTCTTGTATGTTAGCCTCTAAGTAACTTGAGGTGTATTCTTTGTGAGCTTTCTTAACCCTGTGCTTAACCCCTCTTCTACATGTTTTAAATTTAGACCAGGCATCTTGGGTGTTTAATTGTCTGTATACAATCAGAAAATAGCACATAAAAGCTCCCAAAGACCATGAAGAACCACCAAAACCCCCAGTTTTTGGCATGCTATGGAGGCTAGCAATTTTTTAGAGCTGATCAACCTTTTCTAGCTCCATGATCTGACACCTGAGTGATGAAACGTTGTACAACTGTATTGAAACTTTAACTTGACATTGAATCACTAGAGATCACCACTAAAAAAAAAAGAAAAAAATCCTACCTACATGTACCCACTCTAATTTTTTCAGGACTGAAACAGAAAACAACATTTTTTTCCTAGGTCTAACCATGTTTTTTTTCTCCATTTTCCCACAGGTAGGGGACGTGTACCAGTGTCGGCTGTGTAACTACAGTACCCAGCTGAAGGCCAACTTCCAGCTCCACTGCAAAACTGACAAGCACACACAGAAACTACAGCTGGTCGCTCACATCAAGGAGGGCGGCAAGCAGAACGAATGGAGGTCAGTTTTTAAGAATTTTATTATTGTTTACCGTTTATTTCAGGCTCAACGGCCCATAGCATACAGACATAAGAAAAAAAGGTCTCCCGTGCTCTATGCAGAGCATGGGGTTTGGTGCCCATGTCCATTTCCGTAGCCCATGGGCGACACACAGTTGTGCAATGCACTACAGCCGGGGGCTTGTCCGCTGGTAGTGCTGTGTGTTTGACCTTCCTACACTCTTTCTCATGTGTGCTGGGTGTCACCAGAACTTGTTGTCAAGTTTTACCACATTTGTGGAAGGATTGACATAACAGGTGACTATCACCTCTTCAAGATGTCAAACCTGTATCCCAGACTGTAAGGTTTGAACCACTCACACAGGGAAGAACCCCTACTCTATTCAATAAGTATGGTAGGATCTTACTCAAGGTGTGGCTCTCCCAAACACGGGACCTCCGGCTTTACATCCTATCCGAGAGGACATCCCTAGCCAAAGCTAGGTACTCATTTACACCTGAGTGAAGTGAGGAAAGTTGTGAACAGTAAATATGTTTGCTTCTTTTTACACTGGAAGGTCTAGAACTGTAGGATGCACCAAAGTAATATTTAGCATCCTGAAAGACACTACATTGTACATTGTACCTGCTTCATCACATAAATCCCACTGGGCTGGCCCCAACCAATCAGGATCTGAGATTTAAAATTTGTGACCAATCACAGTCTAGATTCCCTTGGCCAATCACATACCAGCATCCCTGACCAATCGGGAATCTTTCAGTACTTTAAAACTTAACTTTAGAGAGATGGCCGCACTTTTTTTTTGCCCTTCGTAACATTTTAAGCCGGGATCTTCTCTACCCTTATCACATGGAAACACGTCGCTTCAGTTTCAGGGCAGGTTCAGGAGTTTTTGTACCAGTGTCAGAAAGGTCTTTAGCCTGACTGGGAAGGTTGACTAGGCCTGAATGTCTTGGGTTCAAATCTTCCCTAAGAGCTGTCTTTAAGTCTTTTTACTAAGGTGCCAGCTACTGAACTGTCTTGTAAGGGTTAAGTTGCCTTAGTTCTCGGAGCTTGCTTAGCCTTAGTTGAACTGTGGTGTTGGTTGTTGAGCTGGTAGAAGAAACCGAAAGGTGGACGGCTTTCCTTGCCTCTTTCTGCGTCAGTTCTTTGGCAAGGTGTAAGCAGCAAAGTCATGAAAGAGGACAGGTCAAGCTGTTTGCCCCTACATTGAAAGTGTTCTGGTCCAGAAGTGAGGAGTTGTCATAGGAATGGGTTATGACACTTTTTGGGATAGGGAAACTGCTGTGTGAAACAATAACTTCTTTCTTCAGCTTATACATCTGACAAAAATACAAGAATATTAACAATCCTAGTAACCCCTATGCATGTAGTTTACTCTGTCAAGAATGGGTTTCAAAGATTATAATACTTTCCGTTAAATTTCCCACTAATGTACATGTACTAAGCAAGGAATTAGACAAAGTATATATTTCTTGCTTGCTGTAAAAGTTTAATAACTTCGGTATCAGTGCCTGGATTTGAGATGCATGTACGGGAAGCCATTTTGCATGAGTGAATGATATCTGCGCATCACTTGTGATTTTCCCTTCGCAAAGTGCCTGGCTGGAGTTTGACATTCCGCTGGATGCATATGTGATGATACGTCACTAGCCATTACCGACCTGGCCTAACGCTTCGGGCGCTCTCAGACAAGAGAAGAGAGCCCATAATGACATCATCTTTTACATGGATGAACTGAATATCAAAATCCATCCCTGATGGTACTGATGCCTCGTCTCCTCTTTGGAGAGAGACGTATGGAAATGTCCTAACCGCCTCGTCTTTGCTGAAAACAAATGCTGACAGCGGGGGGAAAAATCATCCGCGGCAATCAAAGTGGTCATTTTTAGTTAGGCCGGCCGTTTTAATGGCATGTGCGAGACGCCCGGCCTTAATGTCCAAATGTCAAAAGATTGAGATACGGCGGGCAGGTGAAAAATGAAATTGCGGGGAAGAGCTGACATTTTGAAAGTCCAACGGCAGTGATAACAAGCGGCTGGGGTCAGCGAGGGCCGCTCGGATCTGCACAATGCCACGCTCCTGCCCAGGCAAGCTACACATTCACGTGTGCCCCTATCAGCATTATGCAAAACCGGCCCCTGAAAAATGAAATTTAGGAGAAACGGTGACATTTTGGAGTCGGGAGCAGGGCTTAGGCTGAAATGTGGGGTGTGCGATAGGCTTGCCCGGCCATTACCGAGTTCATTTGTCGATTCTAAATTTCCGGAGGGGTTGGAGTTACAGGTGAAAGTACGTCACCTGGAAAGTTAACTGGCCTCCCACCTGCATGCCTAAAGAGGTCGTTCTTCTTGTCTGCAAATTGGCCGCTTTCATAACTCTCCAAGTCCAAGGCATTGATGGATCGAGTTGTCTCTTCAACAGAACTATTCCAGACCTGTGTCCATTTTTTGTTGAACTCCAAGCTTAATAGTACAGTGGAGGCTCTCAGAGAAGATTCTGTTAATATATTCTGTTGTTCTACCTCATATTCTGCTTTGTACTTTTTAATATCTGATTGTGGTAAAAGCAAATCAACATCATTAAGATAGAACAGAGTTGTCTATTTAACAGAACTATTTCAGACCTGTGTCCATTTTTTGTTGAACTCCAAGCTTAATAGTACTGTAGAGGCTCTCAGAGAAGTTTCTGTTAATATTTTTGTTGTTCTGCCTCATATTTCAGAATCTGATGTAGAAACTATATTGTGCATGTTATAGGATGTTCTGCTTTCTACTATCTAATGACTGGCTGTAGAAAAGCTATTTTTTTTATTATTATTATTCTGCCTCATATTCCAGATTCCAGGTGTAGAAACTATATTCATGTTATAGGATGGACCTTTTTATGCTTTGTGCTTTCTAATGATTGACTGTGGTAAAAACAAATGACTTGACTTCACTTTTGACTTTATTAGAATCCACATTTAGCATAGAGAACAGTAGCTATTCTTCCTGTGGTCCATTCTAACACGCATACCACACACAGGGAATATGCAAAACATAAATACATTGACAACACTAGCTATATACTAACACTAATACAAATCAATCCAGGACTAGAAACTTACACCTACACCTTGCACTGAAAAAAAAAACCCAAACACATTAAGTTAGAAGAGTACTGACCTTCGAGCCGAGAAAGCGGAGTTGGTGCCACGCCACGTCACACAGGAGATGGGCAGACTTATTAATTGCGTGGAAACGGCAGGGTTTCCCAGTTATACGCCAAGAGATGGACACATACTCTAATTTGTGAAAATTTGAGGACTTTTGTTTGGGAATTGCGTTAGCAAGCTTGCCTCATAATTGCCTTGAAGATGTTTTTTTTTTTAAATATAGAAGATTTTTCCTGTCATCTCTTTGTGGCTGCAATCAATTTGGATGACGGATGTTTTAGCCAATGCGGGTATAATTGGTTCTATCCATATTCCGGTCCTGACTAGCATTGGAGAATAATTATTGCAGTAGACATTAGAAGGGTCCAAGATGACCAGATGTACATCTAGCAGGATTTCTTTTGCCAGTTTTGGTCGCTTACTATCTTTTTTTCATTTGAGGAACTAACAAATTGGCACCTAGAATATGCCAGTTGAATTAGGCAATGGTCTGTCAAAATGCTATCTGCTTACCCCGGTATGTACAAATATAGATGAGTAAAAACTGGTAAAAACAGGTAAAACTGGAGTGATGCACTTGCCAGGACTATTTTATTTCTGATGTCTACCTGCACTGGTCCATGTACTGTGTGTAGAGGTGTGTTTGCTATATACAAATCATTACCACCTACGGAATTGAATTGGTTTCCTGATGGCTACCAGCCATAGTACATGTATATGAAATCTCCTTTTCAAAGTGATCATGATGCACTATATGCTTCATCTTAGGTACATGTACATGTATATAGGCTGTTCAATGTGTTACCTGCACCAGTCCTGGTCCAGAAAAAATTATTTTAAGCCCTGCACAGGTAGTTTACCAGTTGTTTCTCCCTACCAGTCAGCATTGTAAGAGTCAAACTGTTGTAGTCAACATGATAAGGGTCCACAATGAATAAACATTAGCAGGATCTCTCATTCAACTAGTGATAAACCACAGTTTCGCCAGCTTTTTGTATTAGAGGAACCAACCAATTAGCACCTAGAATTTGACAGGTAAAACAGATTAACAGGTAAATACACCAGGTGTGTATTACTCCTGCAGTCAGGAAATATTTTCCTGGAATCAAGAAATATTTTCCTGGAATAGGACAGGTGAGCCCACCAGCAGAACAGACAACCCACCGGTACTGTCCTGGAATAGAGAGGATTTTAAACACGCGGCATTAAGTGGCTGATTAGGGGGTAAATGTAGCAGAGCTGACGTGGGAGGAAAAACATACATACAGATGTAAAGGGAGAGGGACAGCATCCCAAAATCAACCGTCAGCAAAAGAACTTGAACCTTATTCAAACACATTTTATGACTGAATTATGATTACTACCAACACAGATGAACTTTCATGATAATCAACTGTCAGCATCTCTGGTGAAAAATCCAATTTTTTTTTACCTATTGATTCTACTGTGTTTTGGGGACTGGAAAAACATACATACAGTAAGGCGAGAGAGAGGGACAGCATCCCAAAATCAAGGGCCACCATTTCTGGCGAAAGATGCTAGGTTTTGATGAAATAATGTTTGAAATTTACCACTGGATGTAAGAATTTCAGGGTCTCAATCAACTCCAAAATGGTCATATTTTTCAACAGTTGAAGGAAGTCCCTTCTCTTTAAGTTTAGAATTGTTACAGTTTTTCCACCTATCAATGCAGTGGTATGATTAAAAGTTTGGAATCCATTGTTTTAAATACAAACCAGCCTGGTATGTTGCCTATCAAAGCATTTGGGGCTATGATAGGATGCCTTGGACTGTTTTTATTTTTTTAATTTTTTTTTTGTCGTCCTGTCGCTTCATATTTTTT